AAAGAAAAAGAAGTGCAAGAGTCAAGGAGGCATTGATTTGTAGTTCTCCTCTTCCATCCAATATTTACTGAGCCACCTGCTCGGTGCTGGTCATGCTGCAGGCCTTGAAGACTAAGCGGTGAACAAGAGAGGCCAGGGGGCAGTGCCTGTGGCTCGGTGAGTAGGGCACCGGCCCCCATATACTGAGGGTGGCGGGTTCAAACCTGGCCCCAGCCAAAGGGCAACAACAACAACAGAACATAGCCGGGGATTGAGACGGGCGCCTGTAGTCCCAGCTACTTGGGAGGCTGAGGCAAGAGAATCTCTTAAGCCCAAGACCTGGAGGTTGCTGTGAGCTGTGACGTCACAGCTCTCTACCAAGGGCGACAAAGTGAGACTCTGACTCTTAAAAAAAAAAAAAAGAGGCCAGGAAGCCAATACATTTTAGCAGAGGCGGCGGCCCACATTTGCGAGACAATCATGCAATAGTGACTTGCAGGTGGGATACGCGTAGGGAAGATAACAGGGTCACAGGCTGCAATGCCCGGGGCAGGTCCTCGATCTTGGCCGCTGGGGTGTGGAGTTGGGGAGCCATGAGCTCCCGACCCCTCTTGCCCTGCCCACCCCGCCCAGACAAGGCAGCAGGACCGGGTTGTGGTGGGGGTGGGAGGAGAGGAGAAAAGTGGCACGTCACCAAGCGGGGCGGGACAAGAGGGGCCCGGCAGGGCGGAACGAGCAGGCCGGTGTTTGCGTTTCCGGCCGGAGGCTTTTGTCCCGCGCCCCGCGTCCCTGGGGGGCGGTGGCGACGGCGCAGGCTGTGGAGGCACTTGGGGGTCCGGAAGTCAACACCATGTCGAGTCTGCACAAGAGCCGGTAAAGGGCCACCAGGTCTTACCCATCCAGACTATTCCTGCCCGGACGCCCCTTCTGCCCTGCAGAGAGTGGGAATGCGGGCGCGGCCGGGAATCGGAGGCCCGGGGCAGAGGGTCTTGGGCGTTCACTTTCTAATCCCATTTGCCTGTGGGACGGACGGAGGGAGGGAGGAGGGAGCCAGGGCACCCCTTCTGCCCCCGGTGTCACCCCTTTTGTCTCTTTCCTCTTGGACCCCTGGTTTCCCCCTTCCCTTACTGTACTCATCCAGACCTCCATGCCCCAATCCCGTTCCTTCCCTTTCCTCCTTTTTAACCCTCTGCTTAAGTACTCCCCTTTCTCCTATGCCTTTTTCTTACTAGAAATGCCAGAAAACTTGCTTTCTTCAATCTGTCTTTTCGCCCTGCCAGCTCCTGCAGCATTGGCTAAATTTTGCCCACTCTTCAGTTTTCCTCCAGGGTTGCTTTTTAAAAGCTTTTGTCCTTGCTTGTGGGCAGGCCCAAAGGTCTTGTAATGGTTATATTTGTGAGCATGGAGAGCTCCGTGCAGATTGCATGGGTCCAAGGTCTATGGATCAAATTACTCCAGTTCCGAGGATGCATTGAGTTCTGCTGTGGCTGTACTGTGGCCCAGACCTGGCCAGTAGGAAGTGCCCAGTAAATGTCAGCTAACTAAATATCAAAATTTGTCTAATTTTATGGTGCTTATTTGAGAAGTTCTAGTAGTATCTTAAGTTTCTTCACTGGCATTCTGTGTTTCTGGGCTTAGAGCAAGAAGTGATCTATAGGTTTATAGTTTCCCGGATCTACTTTTGGTGAGGACCTTGAACGAGCTTTGTCGTCTTTATGTCCTAAAGGGGAAGGAGGGACAGGTTGGAGACAGGAGGTATGAGGAAGGAAGGGTGACAAGTTCAGTCACTAAACCTGTTACCTTAGGGTTTGAGTGCTTCATTTGCCACCTTCTCCCCACTTCTAGGATTGCAGATTTCCAGGATGTCCTGAAGGAGCCCTCAATTGCATTGGAAAAGCTTCGGGAACTCAGTTTTAGTGGTAAGCAGCAACTCTACTTTTAGGATTTCCCTAGAGCAGCCATGTGGCTAGGATGGAAGGGAAGGAGCCCAAGGCCACACCTAGTCAGTTCTGGGAGCAGCCTGATGCTTGAGGCCTTCTCTAGGTTCTGCAGAGGTGAATAAGCAGTGACCATTCTGAGTTTGGGGAGATTTCCTGGAGTTGTGGCCACGGCACACTTTAGGCCTTACACAGGAGGCAGGCACCAGGGTTCCAGGAGTAACCTGAGGGGACTGAAAATGGGAGAATGAGAGTGGGCAGGGACTTTATGAGCTTAAGTCAAGCCTTTTCTCATTCCCCAGCTAGTTTCCTGTGTTGTGGAATTCAGTTAGCTGTGGGGTGCTTCCTGGTTCTCTCCCTGGCTTGGGATCTAAGCTGACTTAAGTGACAGTAAACTTTGGTTGATGGTAGAATTTCAGCCATGGGACTTTAAGGAGCTGATACTGAGCAGTGTTTGACTTTCCCTTCCCTGGCATGGTTAATCATCGGCTTTTTGCTTCTGTTTAAAAGTGCTCCGAAGCTGAGTACGGTGGCTCACACTTGTAATCCTACACTCTAGGCTTGGCGCCTGTGGCTCAAATGGCAAGGGCGTCAGCCACATACACCTAAGGTGATGGGTTCGAATCCAGCCTGGGCCACCAAACAACAATGATGGCTGCAACCGGAAAAAATAGCC